GTAATCCACGTTGCTGAATCATGAATTTTAAAAATGTTGAATTGGGAGATGTTACATATACCTTAACTATATAATTCTGAAAACGATATTGTGAACAAAATTAAAAGATAACCATGTTAGTTGTTAGAAGCCATCGAGTCTGCCCCCACCCATAGTGACCCCATGCACAACAGAATGAAGCACTGTGGTCCTGCACCATCGTCACCCCCGTGCCTATGCTTCAGCTCATGCCCAGCCACAGACGAGGAAAAAGTACTCACAATCTAATAACAATGTGAGGGACGGTGCTTCAAAGAGTCCGTGTAAAATGGATTGACAAGATACCGAAATCTTCCACAAACTTTCTGCAGCCCCTCATAAGCATATAAGCCTATTCACAGATCAATGAGGGAAGGAGCAGCAACTCAAGGGGAACGAGGCAAAGTCTCCACGAACATGCTTACAGGGGATTGCTTCAAATGACTGATAAGCACATTCAACCAAAAAACCCTCATTCTAGGAGGTGGAAGACACCTGACCCAAGATGAAGACCCTTAGTGGCTCGTCAAGCCTGAACTGAACTCACTTCTGGTTTAGACTAATCACCCACTTAAGATCACACGGGCAGCATTTACCTAAAGACGAAGCCTAAAGGGTTAAGACAGGAAGAGGAATGGAAACAAGAAGTGTGCAGGACATGGGATACGCGATGGTCCACTGAGGGAATTGCAGTGCGCGAGAGACATTACAACAATGTGAGAGAATTGTTGAAGGGCAGATTGATCATCTGCTCTGTAAACTTTCACCTAATTCACAGTAAAAAGGGGTTGCTGTTTTTTTTAAATGCTCCTTCTAGAAATCAAAGACACACAAATGAAAATGAAATATAATTTTATATCTATCAAGTCGTCAAAAATGAATATATCTGACTATCAACTGTTAGTGAGGCTGTGGAGAAATAAATATCTCACAGAAAACTGACAGATGTAAACTGTTACAATCACTTTGAAGAGCAACAGAGCAGTAGTTAGTGGAACTCAAGACGCACACTCCTTACTATCAAAAATGTTACCTCTGGGTTATCTGCCCCAGGAAAACTTTGCCACTGAGAATAAGAGGCATTTCTCAAAACCAAACTCACTGCCACCGAGTCAATTCCTAATTGTAAGGACCCTATAGGACAGGATAGAACTGCCCCTGGGGGCTTCCAAGACTGTCACTCCGTGTGTATGTGTTACAGTTAAGTAACAGTTAAGTGTGGGGTTTTTTTGGTGCCAACATGGCTCGTATAGGAATATGTGAGCAGAGGTTAGCCTGTCAATCAGGTCACAGCTTGATTGGGGGTCTACCAAGATAAATGGCTCCCTGGAGGGTGGCCTCCCACTCTCTCTGCTTCACTTCCCTGCTGTTGAGGCACTGTGAGCTGGCGAAGCCACATGGAGACCCATGCCAGCGCTGAGATGCTTCCACCGCCATTAGATCCATAAGACCTGTCACTCACTGGCCTGTGAGCTTCCGGAATGCATTCGGCATCATTGCTGGTGACTACGAGTCTGAAGAGGGATTTATGGACTAGTACTGGACTTACAGAGTAGAATTGGACTGATGGACTTGATCCGGACTGGGCTAGGATGTTTGCTTGATATATCATCACTTCTTGATTTAAAGCTCTTTCTTGTACATACAGGAGTGTCACTGAATTTGTCCCTCTAGTCAACTGGGTCTCATACAGTTTGCATTTTAATAAATGATAACAAAAGCCAAATTACAGGCAAGTATTTAAGCATCTTCGGTTGCCTTAAGGCACAACAAAACTGAATGATGCCCTTCTTCCCCGGGGCATTGACTCATCCAAGGAGAGCAGGAACGCTTCATGCTGGGTCACATTCTATGAGCACGTCTTTCAAGCCATGCACCATCTTTCACAGCCAGCAGGTGCCAGTGACCTAGAGTCTGTGTTCTGCAAGGCCTCCCCCAGGGAAATACACATGGATGCAAGCAGTCCTGGCCCTGGCAGCAAGTGTCGCAAAAGGGGTCCGAATGCCAGCGTGCAGCACGCAGGGTCGACATTTTCTGGGTCTTGTCTGCCTGTCCCCTCTTTCTCCAGATCCTTCTGTCTTCCCTGCACTCCGTGTTCCCCTCTCTAAGCCAATACTTCTTACAGGGGTCAAAAAGCCCTTCCATTCTCCTGCGGAGCGGCTGGTGGTTTCGAACTGCTGAGCTTGCCAGTGGCAGCCCAATGCACAACTATTACACCACCAGAGCTGCTAAGCTACAATTAGAAGGATGTTCATTGAAACATGGTTTATAATAATTTAAAAACGCTATAATATAGTAGGGTAAATGATAACTAAACCACAGCATATTCATTCGCTGAATTATAGCATAACAATAAAAAGGAATGGAGTCAAGTAAGTCATATGACGAAATCTCAGAAACGTAAAGGCAAAAAAGTAAGTTGCAAAAGAGGATTTGGATCATGCTTTTTTTTTAATGCCAGATTCCTACATACACACAAAGTTTACAGCCCCTTGCACATGTGCCAAGCACAAAGAGACACGGAGGAACGATCCACAGCAGCGCCAGGGTGAGGGTGACCTGAGCAAGGGTAGGGAGCAACGTGGAGGGCAGCAGGGAGAAGGCAGAGCAGTGGGATCAGAGCCCGTATGTCGCATCTTTTAAGAACATTGGGAACAAATCCAGCAAAACATCAACAGACATCTAATCTCAGTTGCTTGCTATTTTATCTTAGGTGTTTGTCATAGATTCAAAATATTCTCTTTCGAACGAAGTAAGGAAATACAGAGATCAAGATGGCCTGCGAGATTGAACAGAAATGACTTACTACATTTTCAGCATATGACTTTGGCTTGAGCAAGAACTCACTAATGAAGCGTACACGAAACCATTTCAACTGCTTTACATTTACATTAGCCAAGGGCTTGATGATGGAGCTCTGGGTCCGCTCAGGAGCTCAGGAAAGAAAGGCAAAACACAAAGGGCTTAGGACAACCCATTCTGCGTAATTTGGAGACTAACCCCCAAAGTTGGTCTCATGAGGCCCCCCAGATCTGTTAAGGCAAACTGTGGGGACCTGGGGAAATGCATTTTCCGGTACTGCGCATCTTTAAAAGGAAAGGAGGGCTGACTCTTACTTCTTGAGGGAAAGGCTGGCACAGACTACATCATCAACTTATCTCAAGTGTGGGCATAGCTTTGATCAGAGATTAGCCAACTACCTCATAGGGGACTTTCCTGACGTGGATTTTTTTCAAATAATATAAAGGGAATGGCTGTGGTTTTTTGACATGACTTTGATTTTGTATTTCTTAATGTTTAGGAATGTTAATAGGGATTCCAGGAAGTCTCAGAAGGCTGAGTGTTTCCATGAACTTAACTTTAAATCACCCTCCCCGACTGCTTTCATCCTTGCTTCTCCTTTAATCCAGCAATTTATCTACTGGCGGCCAGGTGACCAAATGACCAGTGTGCTCACATGTGCCAAATCTGTATCTATCGTTCTGGCTTAATTAGTAACACCCGGTTCACTCTCAACTCACTCACTCGCTGCCATTAAATCCATTCTGACTCACAGTGATCCTACAGGGCAGAGTTGCACTGCCTCTGGGGGGGTTTCCAAGACTGTAATTTTTGGAAATGGGCGAGTAGAAAGCTTCATGCTTCTCCAGCAGAGTAGCTGGTGGTTTCAAATTGCTGCCCTTGTGCTTAGCAACCCAGCAGGCAACCCACAGTGCATCAGGGCTCCTGCTTTCTCAAGAGTGTCCTACATAAGGACCCTATGAGCGCTCGTGGAGAGAATGTGGAAATGAGTTAAAGACCTGGGCTCAAGATATTATTCTGGTACTTAAAGCTGTGCAATCTCAGGGAAGTCATTTGGATGGCAGTGGGGTTCAGTAGTAGAATTCCTACCTTCATAGGGAAGACCTGGGTTTGATTCCTGGTAATGTTCTTCAAGTCTGATAGCACCTGTCTGTCAGTGGAGGGTTACATGGAGTTCAGTAGAGTTTGCAGACTAAGACAGACGAGGAAGAAAGGTCTAGAAGTCTCCTTCCCCAAACAGCCACTGAAAACGCTTTGGGTCCCGACAATCTGATCCTATTGTGCACGGGATTGCCATGAGCCTGCCAACTCAACAGCAGAAGTTACTGGTCCTCTCTGAATCTTAGCTCCTTTATCTAAAATGATAACAAATTGCTAAGTGTGTTGTAAACATATGTTGTAGTTCTCCACTGCCATGGAGTCAATGCTGACTCATAGTGACCCCCCTGTGGGTTTCCGAAATTGTAACTTTACTGGATTGGAGCCCCTGGTGGTTTTGAAATGCTGACCATGCAGATTGCAGCCCACTGCATAACCATGACACCACCAGGGCTCCCTCCCTCTTCGCTGTGGTTGACACGTACAAAATGCTGCTCTCTCTGGTTCCTTTCCCGTGATATGTCACAGAGCAAACTATTGGATCCATAAGGTTTCTAGTGATTGATTTTCAGAAGTAGATCACCAGACCTTTCTTCCTAGTCTGTCTTAGCCTGGAAGCTCCAATAAGACCTGTTCAGCATCCTAGCAACAACATACAAGTCTCTACTGTCAGAAGGATGGTGACTGCACATGAGATGCATTGGCCGGGAATTGAACCCAATTCTCCTGCATGGAAAGTAAGACTTCTACCACTGAGCTGACATGGTTGTAATTTAAAAGCAAACATAGAGTCAATTCTGACTCGTAGCAGCCCTATAGAACTAACTGCGTCCGCAAGTTTCCAAGACTGTAATTCTTTAAGGGAGTAGAGAGCCTCATATTTCTCTTGTGGAGCAGCTGGTGGTTTCTAACTGATGACCTTATGATTAGCAGACCAAAGCCTATCCCACTACAATACCAGGGCTTACCATGTTGTAACTATGTAATGTAAACAGGTAAAATGTAAAGGTCATTGGGACACAGTTAATTCATCCAAAAGAAATTAACACGGAGCAATTCAGCCTCTTTCTGGATATGGTTACCTTGCCAACTTGGAAGCAGTCATCTGCTGTGAGGGAGAAAAGCCGTCTGGGATTGTAGAGGTCAGTGACCGCAGAGCCGGTGACTCTCTGGAAGACGCCCCGGGCCAGCCCCTTGACATTGAGCATATACACGTCCTGCAGTCGCATCAGGGCCCTCGCTGCCCCTTCAAGGTCCTCAAAGGCTGGAAGGTCTTGTTCCACTTTCTCATAACCATCCTTCAGAACTGTACAGAAAAGCATCCATCGACCCTTCAGAAACCGGTGAGGAGCACTGAGGACTAAGAAGACCACCCGGCCGGGTATTCATGAGCAATGATAACATCCCATTCTTCTGTGTGTTCCCAGAGCCAACCCGGTTGTTATTTCTGAATGAGGGGGAAATTATCCAGCGTGAAGATTAAGGTGCTACCAAGAGGGGAAGGGGAAGGTGGGAGGAGAAAAGGGGAACCGATCACAATGATCTACATATAACCCCTTCCCAGGGGGAGGGACAACAGAAAAGAAGGTGAAGGGAGACAGTGGTCCGTGTAAGACACGGGGGAAAATTAATAAATTATGAAAGGCTTATGAGGGAGGGAGGGGGCGAGAGGGGGGAAATCAGGAGCTGATATCAAGGGCTCAAGTAGAAAGAAATATTTTGAAAATGATAATGGCAACATATGTACAAATGTGCTTGATAATGGATATAGGTATGGATTGTACTAAGAGCTGTAAGAGCCCCCCCAGTAGAATGATTTAAGAAAATTAAGGTGCATAACTTCATCATGTTGGACCATCCTCTCTGTCTTTAGGAGTCATGCACTCTGGGGAACTAACTCGGCCTCTTAACATCCCCCAACGCAACCAACTTTGAAAGGACAAAGTGGAAGAAACCCAGAAAGTAAATGCCCGAAAGATCACATTGTAGCGACAGCTTTCTACATAGATAAAAGGGGATGATATGCAGTGAGTGAGGATCAGAAGAGATCATGGATATGAAAGTGCTCTCTAATGTAAAATCGTATATAAGCATATTAACAAGGGGACCTAGTTCTTTTTACTAGCTACAGCCAAGGAAATAAATATAGCCAGTCATGTCACTCCCTTCTGTAACATCCCTCTCTCTCCTGTTCGCTGAGTTCGGAGAGGCAATCTTCCTCTTTCCCCTCTGCCCCTCCCCCGTTACCTTGGATGTTCTCACTGGCCTCCAGACTGTGTACCACGTTCCTCCAGTCTGACTGCAGGCGCTTGATGAGAGTAAATGCGAGCAGAGGGTTGGCCACAGGGGTTACGGAATCCTCATGCCAGGAAAGCACCTTGTCGTAAAATCTGAAAGAAGGAGAGAGAATGATCTTGTCAAGGCACGGGGGAGGTGGCACGGCGCAGCTGTTTCTCCTTACCTTGAGGCAGGCATGCCCCCTGAACACATTATCAGCTTCGAAACATTGTCAGACACTGAAGGGCTAAAAATGGAAGCAGAACACTGTCTGAGACAGTGCTGGAGGAGGGCTGCTCCCGCCAGAAGGCGCTCACTGTGCGACTGAGGAGGAGCTACTTTGTGGGAGAGAAGTCAACCAGGAGCAAAGCCTGTGGGAGTGGAGGCTTGGAGATCTTCATTGACAGATGGGGCATGACTCCAGGTAAGGAGAAACAGCTGCCCAAATCTGCTAAAGATTGGAACTGGGACTGTGTGAACGATGAATCTAGGAAAATTGGAAGTATGTAATAAAAAATGAAGTGGAATCCATAAAGATCTATAGACTAGGCCTTAGTAAGCTGAAATGGGCTGGCATTGGCCATTTTGAATCAGAAAATCATATGGTTTACTATGCTGGGAATGAAACAATCAAGAGGGATGGTGTTGCATTTATAGTCAAAAAAGGAAGTTCCAAGATTTATTTTTAAATACAGTGCAGTCTGTGATGTGATTATATCTATCTGCCTTCAAGGAAATACTATCAATAGAAATAGTATTCAAACTTATGCATCAAACTAGTTGGAAAATATGGTCTTGGTGATAGAAGTGAACCTGGAGATTGCATGATAGAATTTTGCAAAACCAACAACTGGTTTATAGCAGATACCTTTTTTCTAAAACACAAGAGGTGACTGTACACATGGACTTTTCCAGATGGAATATAAAGAGATCACATTGACAACTATGGGAAGAGGTGATGGTAAAGCTCAATATTTGCAGCTAAAACCCGGGCGGGAGCTGATGGTGGCACAGATTATCAATTGCTCATATGTAAGTTCAGGTTGAAGCTGAAGAAAATTAAAATAGGTGCAAGAGAGCCAAAACATGACTTTGAGTCTATCCCACCTGGATTTTATGAACATCTCAAGAACATATTTGAAACCGTGAACACAAACGACAGAGCCTTGATGATCTGTGGGCAGAGAGCAAAACAACATTCATGAAGAAAGTGAACGGTCATTAAAAAGACAGGAGAGAGAGAACAGATCAATGTGGATGTCAGAAGAGACTCTGAAATTTGCTCTTAATCGTAGCTAAGGCAGATGAAATAAATGATGAAGTCAAAGTGCTAAACAGAAAACTTCAAAGAGCAGCTTGAGAAGGCAAATTAAATATTATCAGGAAGTGCACACTGCCCTACGGTTAGAAAACCAAACAGGAAGAACACACTCAGCATATCTTAAATTGAAAGAATTCAGGAAAGAAAAATTCAAGCCTCAATTACACTATTGGAAAATTCTAAGGGCCAAATATTGAAGAATGCAGGGAAGTATCAAAAGACAGAAAGAATACACAGTCACTGTCCCAAAAAGAACTCTGTGACATCTCACCATTTCAGGAGGTAGCAGGAGCAAGAAACATTGGTATTGAATGGAGAACTTCAAGCTGCACTGAAAGCATTAGCCAAAAACAAGGCTCTAGGAATTGATAGAATACCAATCAAAATGTTTCAACAGCTGATGGAGCACTGGAAGCACTCACTTGTCTAAGCCATGACATTTGGGAGACAGCTACCTGGCCAACTGACTGGAAGAGATTCATATTTGTACCCCTTCCAAAGAGAGCTGACTTAACAGATGGCTCAAATTATAGAATAATATGATTGCTATCACATGTAAGTCAAGTTGTGCTGAAGATCATCCAACAATGGTTGCATTAGTACATTGACAGGGAACTGCCAAAGGTTCAGGCTGATTCAGAAGAGGACATGGGCCAAGGGATGGCATTGCTGATGTCAGATAGATCTTGGTTCAAAGCAGAGAACACCAGAAAGATACTTATGTTCTATTGATTACACCAAGTTATTCGACTGTGTGGATCATAACAAACTATGGATTGCGTTGAGAAGAATGGGAATTCCAGATCACTTCATTGTGCTCATGAGGAACTTGTCCATGGATCTAGAGGCAGTTGAGCGAACAGAACAAGGGCATACCGCATGGTCTAAAATCAGGAAAGGTGTGCATCAGGGTTGCATTCTCTCACCATCCGTACTCATTGTGCTGAACAAATAAGCAGATAGGATGGACTCTATGAAGAAGAATGTGGCATCAGGATTGCAGGAAGGCTTATTAACAACCTGCGATATGCAGATAACACAACATCGCTTCCCGAAAGTGAAGAGGGCTTGAAACACTCGATGATGAAGATCAAGAGCTGCAGCCTTCGGTAAGGATTGCAACTCAATGAAAAGGCAAACAAAATCCTCACAATAGGTAACCATGATAAATGGAGAAGAGGTTGAAGTTGCCAAGGCTTTTGTCTGGCATGGACCCACACTCAGTACTCATGGAAGCAGCAGTCGAGAGATCAAAAGGAGCATTGCAGCAGGTAATCTGCTGCACAAGACCTCGTTAGAGTATTCTACAGCAAAGATGTTACTTTGAGAACTAAGGTGCAGCGGACCCAAGCCATACTATTTTCAATTAATTCACACTCATGTGAAAGTTGGACATTGAATAAGGAAGACCAAAGAAGAATCAATGAGTTTGAATTGTGGTGTTGGCGAAGAATATTGAAAAGGACCTGGCTATCAAAAGATATAGCGCCTGGGGTCTTAAAGGCTTGAAGGTAAACAAGCGGCCATCTAGCTCAGAAGCAACAAAGCCCACATGGAAGAAGCACACCAGCATGTGTGATCATGAGGTGTCGAAGGGATCAGGTATCAGGCATCAAAGAACAAAAAATCAAATCATTGTGAATGATGGGGAGGGAAGATTGGGGAACCAAGACCCATCTGTAGGCAACTGGACATCCTCTTACAGAAGGGTCTCAGGGAGGAGACAAGCCAGTCAGGGGCCAGTGTAGCAATGATGAAACATACAACTTTCCTCTAGTTCCTAAATCCTTCCTCCCCCCGACTATCATGATCCCAATTCTACCTTACAAATCTAGCTAGACCTGAGGATGTACGTTGGTACAGATAGGAACTGGAAACACAGGGAATCCAGGACGGATGATCCCTTCAGGAACAGTGGTGAGAGTGACGATACAGGGAGGGTGGGGTAGAAAGGGGGAACCGATTATAAGGATCTACATATAACCTTCTCCCTGGGGAACGGACAACAGAAAAGTGGGTGAAGGGAGATGTCGGACAGTGTAAGATATGACAAAATAATAATAATTTATAAATTATCAAGGAGTCATGGGGGAGGGGAGGGCGGACACGGAGGGGAAAAAATGAGGAGCTGATACCAAGGGCTCAAGTGGAAAGCAAATGTTTTGAGAATGATGAGGGCAATGACTGTACAAATGTGCCTGACACAATGGACGTATGTATGGATTGTGATAAGAGTTGTACAAGCCCCCAATGAAATGTGGGTTTTTTTTAAAAGCAGAAGATATTTTAAAAAAAGAAGAAAAGAAAAGTACCATGGATTGCCAAAAGGACAAACAAGTCAGCCAGAGTGCTCCTGGAAGGCAAAGATGGCAAGACTTTGTCTCACGTACTTTGGACATGTCAGGAGAGACCAGTTCCTGCAGAGGACACCATGCTTGGTAAAGTGGAGGGGCAGTGACAAAGGAGGTAGGAGGACACGGTGACGGCAGCAACGGGCCCGGGAGCCCCTGTGAGGATGGCGCAGGACCAGGCAGTGTTTCATTTTGTTGTGCAAGTGCTGGAGCAGACTCGATGACACCTTCCGACAATAACAGCAGTGGCTTTCGTGGGAAACGCTACGATTTGTTGACCATTATAAGTCTGTTGAGAGGGTAGGGGGATGACAGAGATGGAAGTGACCGGAGGCAGAAAGCACAGGAAGGAGGCTCTTTCCAAACTGTAGGCAAGAGACACCGAGGGTCTGTATTGTGGCAGCCACGGGGGGCGGAGAGGAATGGACCCAAGGGAGGTGTGCAGGGAGCAGATACGCAGGAACTCATGAGCCTGCAAGCTGGGATGGAGGAGGTGAAGTTGGCTGGCATACGTCTAGCAACCTCTCTGGTTTGGCAGCATCCACGGACAAGGCCAGAAATGTTGGGACCTGAATTGATCATCTTTTTAGTTAATTCCCCTCCTCTCCAGATACTATAGACTAGTGGTTCTCAACCTGTGGGTCGCAACCCCTTCATGGGTCCAATGACCCTTTCAGAGGGGTCGCCTGACTCATAACAGTAGCAAAATTACAGTTAGGAAGTAGCAAGGAAAATAATTTTATGGTTGGGGAGTCACCACAACATGAGAACCTGTATTAAAGGGTCGCGACATGAGGAAGGTTGAGAACCACCGCTCTAGACAAAAGGTGCTGTTTCCTTTCCTGGTATTTGGGTTCTCCCATTTCCAATTTATAAGGAGCCCTGGTAATGCTGTGGGTTAGACATTAGGCAACTGACTGCAGGATCAGTGGTTCAAACCCATCAGCCAATTTAAAAGAAGGCTGTCTGTCCCCATAAAGATTTATAGTCGCGATGGTGCCCAGCTATTAAAAGATACAGCACATGGAGTCTTAAAGGCACGAAGTTAAACAAGCAGCCATCTAGCAGACAAACAACAACCCCACCCCCACAGAAGAAATACACCAGCCTGTGTGATCATGAGGTGTTGAGGGGAACAGATATCAGAGATTCAAAAACAAGCAATCAAATTGACACGAAGGTGCATAGACTAAGTGGAAACCCAAAACCTATCAGTAAGATAATTGGACAGTCCCTTACAGAAGGGCCACATGGAAAGGATGACATATCCAGGGTGCAGTACGGCACTGATAAAAATTATAACTATCTTCTAGTTCAGTGGTTCTCAACCTTACTCATGCCTCCACCCTTTAAAACAGTTCCTCATGTTGTGGTGACCCCCAACCACAAAATTATTTCCGTTGCTACTTCATAACTGTCATTTTGCTACTGTTATGAATCAGGCAACCCCTGTGAAGGGGTCGTTCGACCCACAGGTTGAGAACCACTACTCTAGTTCTTCTTCATTTTTAAAAAAAAATCCTTTT